AACGTTAAAGCTTAGATGTCTAGCTATAATGCTTTTTTTGATGGACTATGGCCATATTGGTATTCTTATACGTTATTTCCTTTTTAATATTGAAAAAATAATGCATTGAATCTTATATTTGCAACATAATTCACTATTATTTAACATGACAAATCAGTACAAATATATCTACAGTATAACATAGATAATTGATGTCTGTTTTTGCTTCATGATTAATAAATTGAAAAAACTTTTTCGATATGTCTTCTAGGAAAGTTTGTTTTGAAACTTACTGGAATGCTGTAGTATCTGGATTCATTTATTTTTGCTGAGTTTCTTGGACAGATCATATACTGGAAATTCTGTTACTAATTTATCTAAGACTGTGATTCATATATTTAGAACTGATCAATAGGATCAGTGTAATTATGTTTGTCTGGAAGAGCAACATAAAATTCTTGCTAAATAAACAAACACCAAAAAATAAATACTTTGTATTGTTCTAAATAAGAAATATAGCCTGTTTTTCTTGACCACTTAAACGCATAAAAAATGTGACATGTTTAAGTGAAATTCCTAATTAATATAAAATGTTTTTTTTTTCAAAAATAATGTGAAATTCACAACAATTAAATTCTTGCATTAATTTGGGAATCCAAAAGGTTTTTATGGGATTTTGTGCCAAAATCATGTTTGTTGTTACCATGTTTTACTACTATACAGTTGCTGTCCTTCCACAAACAGATCACACAAGTGTTTCTGACATAAATAAACACTGATTTGTGTTGTCCACGAAAACAATATAGTCGGTTATATTTAATTTTCTAGATGAAGGGACATAGTGCACTCCAGAGCTGTAGCAAAAACTAGTTAAATCTTAAAATCCTTCTATTTTAAAGAATCCATTTGTCCTATGAATTCGTGTAATTTTCATATTTAGTATTTAAATGTCATCATTTTTTATAAGATTGCATATCCTAGAGGGTAGAGGGTGATGGATATGTTGAACAAATTCAAAGGGATTATATTATTTTTATATATTTTATTTGTATTCACAATTTACATTTCAGTCCACAAATGAAAGAAAGGTCCTTCACAATGATGTTGAATAACATTGTCATTCATATTCAACTAATTGAGAACTCACCACCATTAGCCTAGTACAGAAACATGACATTATGCCCCAGAACACATTAATGGATGGCATCTTTAAACTTTATGACCACTGGCTCATTTCAAAAATCATCTGGAAATGAAGTGGGCATTTATCAGGCCTAGTTAATCTCAATTTGTGGATGTGGTGATGACTGTGTTTAAAAGAAAGCAAACAGTTTTTTTCTTCACTAAATTAGCAACAATCATCAAACAATATTTGAGGACGATTTAACTTCTCATTGCAATTATTAAAAAAATAAAAAGTGTAAAGTAGTTTGGAAGAATATATTTGGATTGTAGCTACCACAGTGCTTTTCTTCCACAAACAAACCAGTGAAGATGGATGATAAAGCATTTGATACTGAAAGATTGGTTTCATTATCTTCAAATGGAAATACAACAATACTAAAAAGGACCAGCTTAAACATGAGAAAAGGAGGAAATGTTTTTTTCTCCCAGTGCTAAATGCTCAATTCAAATGATAATCAAACTCAGACACACTAAGGATACCAACTTGATCATACAGAGCACCAAAAGTGCTTTATCACTGTGTACAGTATAAGAACATAAGAACAGTTACAAATGAGAGAAATCTATTCAGTCCCTTTAACACTTTTGGTAGTTAATATCTGTGATACATTTGAGTTATATTGATGCACAAAGACTCAACACTTTTCTAGCAACTTGAACAGACACAGGTGAATAGGTGATTTAATCTGTTCAACATCAAACCTGACAAAAAAATCAAGAAAGAAAACACAGGGGACAATTTCCGCCCCCCTTATCAAGAGGACAACCTCCTCATGCCTTTGAACAATGCCAGACTGGACGATATCACCTCACCTGGGCTCATCAGTAGTTGAGCCAACTCTGTGTCCAAGCCCAGAGAGTGCGGTACTTATGCGCAGAATGTTCAAGTGCGAAAGCCTGGACAGGAGTGTTTAGTCACTGCACAATTATAATGATAGATGACAATCATTCAAACCAGATAGCACACATCCTCATGCTGCTTGTGGAGCAACCTCTTTCTTGAGAGATGAGATTCAACAGATGCCCTACTCCCACAAGACAGCATTTCCCACCAGGTGCAAAGCATGCATCACAGATGCACAGACTGCTTTTCCAACAGTGGTCACATATGCTACTAGCCTGTGACTTCCAAAGTACTCTGCCTGTGATCAAACTATTGATAAAAATATGTCCCTGCAACTCCTACGCTAATTCCTGAGAACTTTAGTTATTGCACCTGTAAGTTATTAATTTCCTTAGTTTTATTGGATGCTCATTTAATTTTGCTTTACAAAACTGACGGGCTACTCTTTCTATAGAGTGCATGACTTGTGCTTGGGATTCATTCATTCAGACTCTTCTTATAAAAAGTCAGATTTCATTACAGCCTCTGTGGAAGGCTTGTCTGATAAGATTGATGATTCTGGGGGGCAAGATGTGTCAAAGATCCTGGAAGTTGCTGGATTCAAAGCCAGGCTGTTTCCCAGAGTTGCAGGAGGTGAAACCTACTCTGGCCGAGGGTTTTTGGATTTTAGTTAGCTGAGGACTTTACTATATAGATTAAACCCATGTTAGAAATGGTATTTGATGCTCAGATCCTACTTTCTGAACATAACAAATGTTACAAATTTCCAGTTTTCCAGTTTCCAGTTGTATTTTGTCTTAATCTTTTTGAATTTCTTTTCATGGTTTCATAATTTTTATCTTAATATTTTGCCATCATATGTAATCTTGAATAGTTTAGTAATTTAGTAACAGTTTAGATCATTTATTTAAATTAGGAAGAACAGTAGATACCTGTGGTACTCTGCTAATTACAGTATATCACCCAATTTGAACATTCATCTCGTACCTGTGCCCTCTATTTCTATCCATCAAGCAATTCCATCAGTCCAATCACGTGTACAATATTTCCCTAAATATTTACCATTTTTAGTTAATACTTTATAAATAACCTACTGTTAATCTAAATACTCCACATCTGCGTATTTAGATAATCATTATGTGTGTATTACTGTTGTTGCTTTTTTAAAGGACATTTAAAAGTTAGATATTTTAGATTTTTTAGAATCCACATTGACTATCCTATAGGATCTCATTTCCATGTAGGTTATGATCCAGTTTTGTTCCAGTTACTTTGTTCAGTTTTGTCACTCTTTGCACGGATGTGCACTATATAGCAGTTATCCAGGCCATGGGTACCACTCCTGTCTGGCACAGCTGTTGAAAGACTGTGAAAAACCACTTGTTTAAATACTACTATGTGATGCCATCAGGCCCTGGAGATGTACTAAACTTTTTGTGCGTCTAGTGCCTGAAAAATGTTTTCCCCTTCTATGTTTTTACTTTTTAATACAGAACTTTGACCTTCTGCTGCCTGGGGCATGTTTTTTACTGAACATGCAAGTGAAATGTTAATTTAGTGATTCAGCCATTTCCATTTCATTGTGTAAAAACTACATTTTCCTTCATTCTTTTAGGTTTTTACAATTTTTTTCTACTTTTATTAGATATTCCAATATCGATTGCATTATTTATTTTTATCGCTACCTTCTCCATCCTTATATTATTTTTCACCTGTGCTTAATTGGTAATTTATTTTTTTTAAATGTAGTGGATCTTTTTAATGATCTAATTGATCTGTTGAACCATTTGAGCTGTTTTTATCATTCAGATGACTCACTCTTGGGATAAATCTGTTCTGTGCTTCAAGCAAAGTTTTTTAAAGTGTTTTCATCCATTCTCCACAAACATCACTGTTCTTTTCACAGCTCTTGTGCTCTGTCTCATTCCTTCACAGTATGCATTCCTGAAATTGTATATTTTGACTTGAACTATTATCTGCACAGTGTCAAAGTATAATGCAACGTACATCATATTATGGTCATATTTTCCTTGAAAAAATAAGTTAGAAAAGAAGACAGCAATATAAGCATTTTCGTCTTTTAGGTGCTTCAACAAACTAGGGAAGAAGACCCACTCCATCATCAATTTTGCTGATGACACCACAGTTGTAGGTCTGATCACAGACAATGATGAGAGGGCCAACAGGGAGGAGGTCAATCTCCTTACAAAGTGGTGTGAAGAAAACAACCTCACCCTCACCCAAGTCAGCAAAACCAAGGAGCTGATTGTTGATTTCAGAAAACTGCCAAACGGTCATGCCCCTATCCACATCAACGTGACTGAAGTGGAAAGGGACAGTAACTTCAAATTCCTTGGCATCCATATCACCGAGGACCTCACATGGTCTCTCAACGCCACTTGTCTGATTAAGAAAGCGCAATAGCGCCTGTACTTCCTAAGATGGATGAAGAAGGCTAAGATATCTCTTCAGATCCTCACTAACTTTTACAGATACACTAAAGAAAGCACACTTTGCTGACAGCAAAGCCCTACAGCGGGTGGTGAAAACTTCCCAGTCCACCACTGGGGTTGCTCTCCCATCCATCCAGGACATTTATGACAGACGGTGCTTGAGGAAAGCTCTAAGCATCATCAAAGACCCCACACAACCCAGCTACAGACTCTTTGATCCTCTACCATCTGAAAAAGGGTACCGGAGCATTCGGGCCCAGACTACCACTCAGAGACCCCTCACTATCAAACTCCCAGCCTCTCTTACCTCTTACCCTTAACCCTTAAAATGCCTTCTCTCTTTATCAACACTCAAATGCACATTGAAATCTACCTCTACCTCACGTCAAGACGTTCACTCCCCGTCAGTTTGTATCCTTTATTTCATTCTGTTCTTTCACACAACTGTTGTTTTCTTGCACATTGCCTGTTGTCTCTGTCTTTCTTTTCTTAACAACAATTGTACTGTTGTTTTTTTTGTACTACTTACCGTCTGAGAGCTAGCTAAATAGCATTTCGTTATACCATATACTTGTGTATCAGTATAATGACAATAAACTTGAACTTGACTTGAACTTGAAGAAGGTGGGAAAAAAATTGAAGTCTCCCATAAAATTCTTGATTTCATTATTGTGTTGAATTATAATTCACCTCTGCCTTTGATTGTCTACAGCACATTCATAGCTTTATACCTTCAGATTGTTTTTAGTCTGACTCACACGGATTCAGATTCTGCGCATCTACTCAAGTTACAGTATATTCATCTCCCTTGTTTTTGGTTAGCCACATTTCTTTGATTACATTTGCATCATAGTTGCCTACGAATGTGGTAGCTTTTATATAATCTAATTTGTTTCTAATATTTCTAGCAGGTAAGCACCAAGCATTCTAGCACTGGTAGAATTGATAGACATCAGTGATTTAGCCAGGCAGGCATTGGTAGACATCAGTGATTTAGGTATCAGCACTCAATTACCTGAACCTTCTGATTTGCTCTAGCTTTTCCCTCCTTCCATTCTAGTTGAATACTTTCTGGATCTCTTTTGGGATCCTTGCATCAAGACGACTGGTGCTCTTCTCATTCAGATGTAATCCATCACATCTGTACAGATGACCTTTGCCACGGAAAGGCTTCCAGTGGCCCACAGACTTGAAGCCTTCTTCTGCACACCCTGTCCATATCCATGTGTTTGTCGACAGGTTAACACCGATGTTGTTCACTTGTGTGCGTTCTTGACAAAACAGCTTCTAAAAACCAAATAAGCCAGACATGCTGAATGGACTCCTCTTGGTTGCAAGCTTTCTTATGTTCATTATTATTTTTTCTTTGAAATTTCAAAACCTTAAGGCTGTGTAGAAGGGATACATCAGTTCAGTTAAACCTTAACAGGATCAATGTAACACTTCTCCCAGGTGAACAGCTGTTGATAACTTAAGGAGACGTAAAAAACCTGCTGGATTCCAGACCCTGAGGACAGGTGTCATAGGTGACAGGTATGTTCAGTTCTCATGTCCCCCAAGCCGCTTGTGAGTACACAGCAGAAAGACAGGATGAGCAATATTTGTACAAGGTTATAATGGAGGAAAATAGCCAGTGGCACTAAATGTAAAAGGAATTTTAAGTCAACTTTAATGTGACATGACAAGATAAAGGTGTAATTAATCCCTTTACTTACTAGCATATTACAGCCTTAATAAGTATTCCCCTTTGACATACTGTGTTTAATCTAAGGGGTCTTTTATTGTGACACGAATCAACAGCTGGACAGGTGGCACAAATCTCAGTCCAGATACTATATTATTAAAGAAGAGAGAATATACTGTATGCATGGAGGCAGGTACTAGAAGTTTGCTTAAACAAAGAACTACATGTAATAATATATAAATCACACCTAAAATGCATGCATACAATTAATGAGAAAACTCCTCATTTGAAACAGTTATTTTGAGTAATAAGCATTGTTTATTAATTTACCACCATACTTATTAAAGTATTTTATAAATGTTTTATCTAGAATATCATTTAAGCTAATTCGAGAATCTATGAACCTAAGTGACAGCTGATTCGGCAGCAGTATTCACTTTCCTGGGGCCACTGTCAAGTCTGGACAGAGGGAGCTCTTCAATGATTTGATTCATCACTTGCTTTCCCCCACAGCTGCAGTGTTGGCTATTTTGCAAGACCCATTGATACATGCAGGCTTCACGGAGGCTGTGGCCTCTTCGTGATGGATTTAGCAAGGTCCTCAGTCAACTGGCTAGGTCTAAGCCAGGCAGACATTTGTAGACATCACTGATGGGGAGCTAGCCCGTTGTGACTGGTGAAGACCATTCTGCTTCTTCCAGGGCCTGCACTGTCAGACTCCATATCGCTAATCAGAAACAAGTAGGCGACAAATGGTTCATGTATGAGTGCGCTAGTTGTTTACTGCTGCATCAACTGAAATGTGTGACTTTGTCCTGGATTTAAAAAACTCAAGGATAATTTGCATTGCTTTCAACTCCCAATCACACTTGAATGGAATGCAGTCAAGAAGGCTCATGTGTGTTGTGCTTTTAACCCTAACTTATTGTCCACCTGTAGCAATGGGTCATGGCTATTGCATCAACACCACTTGTCCTGCTAGTTCTCCTTTGCAACATGGCAGCACTGTGACTAAGGCCCATTGCTACACATTGCAGTTGCATGTTTTACTTTACTGTCATACAGTCCTTTACCAAATGACGAAATATCCCTAGTTCATGAAAACAATAATCAGAAAAACCTCTGCAGCACTCAGACACAAAAAAGTTCCAGACAGATAAAGTGACAGTTTGTGGCTGAGCTGAGAAAACCTGACTGAGGTTTGAGCCTCCAGTGCCCATAGGCAAAGGCCGGAGCTGAAGAGAAACCCATTGCCATGAGAGGAAGGGAAATTACATCATAAACCAGAATTAAACATCTAGCAAGCCCTAGTCACACTATTCCATTCGCTAAATGGCACAACTGAGTTTTGTCTTGGTGCTTTGTAGGGTCTTCACTGGTTGTGTGCAGGAAAGCAACCTAGTCATTCTGAAACTGCTGCTGAAAGGAGGAAGGCTGCTGGCAGGATCAAAGGCTTTTCGTTCATTCAGAATGTAGGCTGCAGAGCTATCTGAGTAGTGTTTGTTTACAGGCACACACATTATAAGCACCTGTTTATCTTAGTTGGAAAATGTTTCTCAGGGTCTCAGAAGCGGAGCACAGCTTCCTGAGGAGATTTCCGGAGGCAATAGAAAATTTTGGTGGGTTCCTATAAAAAAAGGGAAATTTAGGCATTCGTAAGACACATGTGCAGCGTTTGTTTTATGTCTGAAAAACATTTGTGAATGTAAAACAGAGAATTCTGGTATCTAGTGGTTGTACAACATCTTTGAATAGAATCTCAGGTTTAAATAGTTGTTGATAAATTAAATTTTATCACTAAAAATATTGAATAACCTCTAATAGAGTAAACAAAGGGAAAAAAAGCAAATTATTTTAAAACAATAGCAAAGCAACCTTCCTAGATATCTGATCATGATCATATATTGCATATTCCATGAATAAGAACAGGGCACAATTCTTATATATTTTAACTCATTCAACTGAATTTCCATGGTATTACTTGCCTACTGCTTTGAACGAAACCTGTTTCAAACGGCTGATCTACAGCCTAATATTGCACTAATGCTTTTAATTTAATGTTCGCAGTTGGTGTAATTGGTATAATATAGCAATATAATACATTATAGGAAATTCGAGCATTAGGCACTAAATTGAAATTTTAAAGCAAATGGCAAAAATGACTGTGGGGGAAAGGAACCCTATTAAATCTAATTTGTTATGCACTGCAGTAGGGGTAATGGATGCAATGAAAGTTCCTTTATTGAGTTCTTATGTCCAAAAGGTATTTAGGTACCATGCTGCATTAAGCTGCTCCCTGTGCTCCTTCTGCGACTGAAGATAGCAAGAAATAAGTCACATAGGTTGCTGCCCCTTTATTTTTACTTCCTTTGCTGTGGACCTTGTGCAGAGGACACCTTGGGCTCCTTAAGAAGGATTACAAAAGGTGCCCCCGACCCCCTTCTGTCTATATGAATAGGTCACTCTGGAGGAAGACTAAAGATGACGGAGAGAGTTAAGTCCTTCAGGTGGGTCTTTTTAGATTCCAATAGAGAGGGAGCTCTGGACTGGGTAAGGGTTTCAGCAGTCCCCTAGAAGATCTGAGATCAAAAGCTGCCGTTAAATAAAATTCCATTGGGAAATCTTAAAACCCCTTTGTAATGTAACTTTAAAAACTTAATACAAAGACCCTTTAGTTTGAAGCCTGTAACAGACAGAACAAAGGCTAAACTAAAACTGACTCTATTAGTAGCAGCAGGGTACAGAAAAAGTAATCAGTTCCCTCAAGGACCCAGCATTTCTCTTTACTAAAAAAGAAATAAGTAAAATGAATTACCATAGCCCGTGTTTGCTTAAATTAAATGTCAGTGATTTTATTTGTAATTATGATATATTGATATATTACATTTTATTTCACCGTTCACCTCACTGAAAGCTACCAGCGTTAATTTCACAAATAAAATTAAATGCAGTCAAAATATGCACAGGTTTATGGAAACACCATTTATGAATCTTCAAAAATGTAGAAAATAACTCAAGAAGCAATAAACACTGCTAGTTTTTATGTTGTAATAATCTACTTTGAGTATAGGGACTATAAGACAGAATAAAAAAAAAACAGCTGTTTAATGGGCTAATTTTGTTAATTAAAAAATACAAAGTTAGCTACATTTTAGCAGCTAACACTATAGCATATATAAATTACCACCTGATTAATTACTTCTTGAAATGACAATGTTCATAGATGTTATTAAGTAGATGTATAGGACCAAGAGGGTCTGCAAGCATAATTTAGTTCTAAAAACAACCACACACAGAAAGGAAATAAATCAGAACAAAACATACCTCCAGGATCTGGCTGTCAAAACATAGCATGGGGCTCATTTAGAGTACAAGATGAGCCCCAGTGCTCTAGACACGGCCATTGAGCGTCTGGAGTATCGTTAGCTGACTGTGACAGTGCTCCCTAGGTGGCTGAGTGTCACTGTGCTGGGTAGACAGGACTACAGCGCCCCCAGTGGGCCCGTAAGCTTGCGGTGTTGTCAGTGAGAGCCAGGTCCACCTTCCAGCTGATGCTCGCTGCGCTGTTAAGCTCACAACCGTATACTGTACTACACGCAGACGCAAGCTCACTCTGCTGTGTGGGTCCGAATTTGTCACACGGCTGCTCGACTTGTACTGTTCTCTACTATTATACAGTTAAAAGAAGTTTCCCCTTAACTGGGCTTCAGCTTTTCCTCCCAGTGATTTTTCTCCAAGCTTTAGTGCTGCTATGTGCACAGTGGAATCAGTCTGACACTCTCACTTAGGATGAGAGAAATTGTATTAATTCCCTTATTTCTCTCTATAACTACCAGGTGGAAGAAAATAATACTGAAAAGAAAATCTTTCATGGTGTTTAAACACAGACTCCTTTTTTAAAAAGACTGAATATGTGTTAGCATTAAATTAGAGTTAACACTTCAGCACATTTGCAGACAGAGAGATGGTTTTTATAGGATTGCTTGTATAAGTTGTAAGGCAAAGAACTCCTTGTATTCAAAATATTATACTTCAGGTTTAGGAAAGAAACACATTAGCTTTGAAAAACTGGAGTGGAAAGGTGCAGCTTTAAGATGTTTGTAAGTACATAAAAAGATAAAGATCCATCACTCAAAACAGCAGAATCTTAATAAGCCTACATGCAGTGCTGTTCCCGAATATTATCCAGGAAATACAGATTTCAGAAGCCATTTAACCCCACCCTCGCAACACAACACATTTGCAGACTTCTCATAGACCACTGCTGATAAAAATAAGGTGTTCACGTCACAAGGTCAGATCTGCTGTGACAATTTAAAATTGACACAGAACAACGAACAATGTGGTTTAACTCGTGTTACTCTGTCGGAGCAGTTTCTGCAGTGGTGGGTTCATGCCTGCCACCATTGCACACACAGCAGCATGACCACCGGCCCTCCTAACCAAGCAGTTTGTAAGACAGGTGTACGGAGCATGGAAAACAGATGGGAAATCCTCCCCAGGGAAGCTGAATTCCGGTCAAAAGAAGGTGATATCTGAGTGTGACTGCCAGCATCTCCGGAACACCTCTCGGAAAAACACAAGGGAACCGGCAGTTGTTCCGATAGAAACTGTGATTTGTTGGCACTTTGAAAAGCACTGTCAGTCTCCACACTGAATCAGGAGCTGCGTGAGATGGGCGGCTGTGCCAGGGCTGTAATTTGGAAGTCCCTCGTCACCAGTGCCGGCAGTAAGGATGAACGGCAGAGGTCACTCAGCGCGGAAACATTAGCAGGACAGTTGATCTGGTCCGACTGCGTCCATCGGATTCACAGTTCAAGCGAACCTCGATCGTCCCTTTAAAGATCCGCTTCAATCACCTGAAGTTGAAATCCTGACGAAGCTGGCAGCTGTTCAGGTTGTCTGGTGTCAGTTTGTTCTCAGGGATGAAACTGCCTCTGTGGCCATTTTGGCAGCTTCTTTTTTTTTTTTTTTACAAGGGACTCAACCTCCTCTTCTGCATGTGGGACAGCAGAGTCTTATGAGCAGCACTGTATCTGTGCAATCCAGTGCCTCTCATTCACAGGGAGACGAATCTCTAGACAGGAGTAAAAACCGTGAAACAGCTTTCAAGACTAGGACTTTCTGACACAGAGGGGTCTCACTTTTATACTGCCTGTCTTCAGGACTCAGACAAAGCTGCCTCCCTGTTTCACCCACCACCGTGACTTTTATCAGTGAGGCATGAACGACCAAGTGCTTTACTTGTGTTAAAAACCAGAGTGCCAATCACTTATTGTTTTACAAAGAAACCGCATGTATTTGATTAGCCTTTTTTATTCTCTGATTTATGCATTTATTCACTCAAATGGGTGTTCTTATGTAAGTCTTATCAGTTTAAGCTTCCCTCCAGAACTGTGACTATAATTCTTTTTTATAGGGGTTATGAATCGATTCCTGAAGTCCAGTTCAAAGGCGGTCTGCATTTCAGACTTGCTTCAAGGAAAACTTTGCAGATTTTGCCTGAGATAATTTAGAACATTTAGGTTTCAAAGTACTTTTATATTTGCAAAAAAGCCACACATGAGATGGAAAAATCCTGAGGATTTCAGATACAAGTATTTTCAAGAAATAACGTAAAAAATGTCAGATGGCATGGAGGGAACTACCTTCCAATAAATTAAAAATAAAGACAACTGCAGCTGAGCTCACCTTTTTTTTAGTTGGTATAATCTACCAAACAAACCAATTTATGATACTAAGCCTATGTTCTAGAAATATGTAGTTTTGTCAATCCCCACTTTAAAACTGATCTGAGGAAAACACTTGATGCAACCTTTTAAACTCCACAAATACCATTTCAAAACATAAACCCAGAACAGACTCCCTAGATTAGCTGTTTTTACAAATCTGCATGTATGCTTTTATGTGCATATTAATGTGGGAAATTAAATTAAAGAAAAAAACAAACCTCAGAGTTCAGGAAAAACTATATTTTTATTAATTGTTTTCTCAACAAAAACTTCATAGTTCATACAAAATACTCACAAAATATTCAACAAAGATTCTGCAGCATTTTCAGAACATTTGTATAACTTTTTGTTAGAGGCAAAGCTTCAACTCTACAGGCATGAAAAGAAATTGGCTTCTACCCGTCTCCACCATGACAAAAGCTCAAAGGCATAAATAAAAGGGTTAAAATCTGGGCTATTTATCATTCAAATTACGCCAAATAGCGCCTTAGTAACATAATTATTCTAGTTTCAGCGTTCAACTACCATGATCCCTTAGTAATATTTGTCAACTCGAAAGGCAGCCACAATGCCAGCGCCCTGTACACAGAATTCCTAATTACAGATTAGAGGCAAACAAAACCCTACACTACAGTTTCCATGTGTCAGCTGACGTAGGACACAAAGGGAACAAAGAGAGCAAAGTCCTCCTCTTTTTTCCTCTTTTTCATCTGTGAAAATGTAAAATGCATTAGATAGTGACTGTGGGTAGGTGTGCCTGGGGCTAAATTGCAGCTGCGCGCTCGATCGTGTAGGAGGACAGTTTTGCGATGTACCCAGGGGCCCAAGTAACCTCGGCAAAGTCTATTAATACCATGGTTAAGCACATTCTACCCCCCTCACAAACATCATTACA